TCTCAATGGTAAGTCTGATAAGGTTAAATTGTCAGCTGATGTTAAAAATGACCTTCAATCTATTGTTAATTGGGGTAAGAAATGACTTCTTAATTTTAACACTTCAAGTTCATGACAATAACTGGTATATGTACAGATCTTTTACAGATGTAGACATGGGGTTGAACTATTATCTTCCACATAAGTAATAATAAACTTTTGAAGGTGTAGCCATATAATTTGTCTATATAATCGATAACATCATTCCAGGAGTGGTTTGAACTGATTTTTACTTATTTATTTATTTTTTTTGCATTGTGTTTAATTCATTGTAAACCGTTCTTCAGATGTACAATCATAAGAGAGAGGGGGTACCTTGATGTGGTGTAATGGTTAACAAGCTTGTCTTGCTAGAACAATTATGACTGAGCCTTGAGTTTGATCCTAATTGGGTGCTCTATGCTTTTGGCCTATTTACTCCTGTCTCAAGTCTGATAAGTGAGATCTTACTTTGCATAAAAATGGTAAACAGGAAAAAAATAGTGACAAAAACATGTGATTTTCCACGTGGCTGTAGATTTTACTGGTCAAAATATTCTGGTAGCAACAAAAGCATCATAGGGTGCTCCATGCTTTCGTACTTGTGCCACATATAAATTATGCTTAGAAAACCATTTGGACACTTTAGTGTGGTGTAATGTTTAACAAGCTTGTCTCATTAGATCAGTTACAACTGAATAGTGAGTTTGATCCTCACTTTTTGCCCCATACTTTTGGCCTTGTGCCACATGTAAGCTATGCTTAGAAAATCAGCATAAGGACAGAGAGAGCTCTCACTTTGCATAAAAATGGTAAACAGAAAAAAAAATAGTGACAAAAACATAATTTTCCACCTGGCTGTAGAATTTATTGGTCAAAATATTCTGGTAGCAACAAAAGCATCATCAGGAATGAGTTCAAATGGTAATTAACCAAAGAGAAAAGAATAGATTTTATTTCCTCTATTTTGTCACTTTTTTGTCTTTAGTTACAGCCAAACCCATTCAGAAATTTCTAAACTGTCAGCTGCATATACCACTTTCTCAGATCAATGACAAAAAAAAAAAATTGAAACCAGTAGATCTTAGTGAGGACGATACTTCTTAAAACCTAGTGGACTGGTATTACAGAATCACAGACAAAGAATGGGGTCTGAAATAACAGATATCACACCTGCTTGAAGACTTTCAACAACAGCAACAACTAAAATGTATAGCATATGTAAGTCAAAGATGTTCCACACTACTCCAAAAAAAAGATTAGGAAGAAAGACCCCATCAATACTGGAAAGATCATTGATAACAGTGGACTTGAGAAACCAATTTTATTGAAAAATCATTTTACAAGTAAGATTTTATGATTTTCAACTGAAAGTAACACTGGCTAGTCAGTCAATGAATGCCAAATGTTTCCTTATATTACATTTACCATCGACACACAAACACACACACACACATATATATATATATTTATTTTGTTAAATATAGCAGACAACAGCAATCAATTTTTTTTATTTAGTTTTTCCAGCATTCTTATCTTTTTCCATTTGGTGGGTGTAAAGGAGTACAAAATTTTTCCATAATGTCCATTATCCCAAGCACTTTCTGCCACTTCTTTAGCCATTTTCAAGGGGGGGGGTTGTTTTAGGTGTTGTTGGTTAAAAAAACAGTAAAAAAAACAAAAAACAAAAAAACAAAAACTTGACAATGGCTAAAGAATTGGTTGAAAGTGCTTGGGCCAAGTGATTAAATTTTCCTTGTGTAATGAAAGATAGTCAAAAGAAAGTTTGTGCCTATATACAGATATATATATATATATATATATATATATATATATATATATATATATATTTGCTCAGGTTGAATTCATTAAAATCAATAAAATGCATCTGTAATAGAGATTGGTAGACAGGAGTGCTCGGAAACAAGTAGTACCTAGCCATTATATAAATAAAAAAACAATAAAAACTACATGGGAACTTAACAAAATTAAAAGCACAATCTGTGAAAAGTGAGTGTGGTTTGATGGCCATTGCTTCAGAAGTAAAAAGAAGTTTTGCATCGTCTTATTCTGTCAGGGTTCAAATTATGGGGAAAGGATCAAGAGATAAACCCAAATAAACCTTCATTGATCAAATCACTGATTAGACAGGAATTAGAAAGGAAGAACTGGGTAGAGCTCTATATGACAAAAATGCTGAAAAGATGTGTTCATTTGAGGACAATTAGACAGAACTTAAATTAATCAAAATTAAGATTAAAGTTAAAATTTTAAAGTTAAAAATATTAACATTTAGATTTTAAATTCAGTTTAATTACATTTGCCATAACTTGTTAAAACCAGTCAGAATAGATCCATGCAGTTTCAATCAACATTTCATTTTCAAGCCACTTGAACACTATATAAACCACTATCAATTCATCTCTGCCCATTTTGGTTGGGCATTCACTGAAGACACCTACTCATTCAAGCCCAATAACAACAGCCAAAATAATTATTCCATACACTTAACTATTGATAGCAATGCTAAATATTCACTGTAAATAACATATGGCCAATGAAGAACTTTATGGGAACCTACGAAAGATAACAGACACTATCTCTGAAAGGCAAGTGCCATTTAGTGGCCATTGTTGAAAGAGTAAAGAATAAGTTATGTATCAGCTTATACAATGGGATCCAGATTATGGGAAAAGGAGGACAATCAGATAGAACTTAAAAATAATGAATATTAAGATTAAAGTTAAAATTTTAAAGTTAAAATATTAAAATTTAGATTTTAAATTAAGTTTAATTTCACTTGTCAAGATTTGTTGAAATAAATCAGGAAAGATCCAGTTTCAATCAACATTTCATTTTCAAGCCATTCTAAACTATATAAACCACCATCAATTCAACTCTATCCTTGGCCAAGTTTTATTGGGCATTCGCTGAAGACACCTACCCATTCATGCCCAATACCAACAACCAAAATAAATATTCCATACACTTGACTATTGAGAGCAACACTAAATATCCTCTGGAAACAAAATATAGCCAATGAAGAATCTTATAGGAACCTACCAAAGATAGTAGAAACAATCTGTGAAAGGCAAGTTCTGTTTAGTTGCCATTGCTGAAGGAGTAAGGAAGAAGTTGAGCTTCAGCGTATACAATGGGATCCAAATTATGGGAAAAGGGCAAGAGATAGACCTACATGAAACTTCATCGATCGACATGGATGTAGACAATCAGAAAGGAAGAACTGAGGAGAGTGATGGATGACAGAAATGGTTGGAAAGAAGTGGTGAGTAGTGTTTGTTGGAAGATGGTCAGATATATATATATATATATATATATATATATATATATATATATATAACCTGAGAAAGAGAAAGATTTTATTTTTGCATATATCGGAAAGCATTTCCATGAGTATCAAAGCAAATCTCATCAATGTCATTTTCCTACCAATGCTGACATACTAGTGACAGACATGCCCCTAACAAAACCCCTTGAAAGAAAACTGGTCACTTGTGAGATGAAATGCCTGAGGAAAGCAGTGAACAAGACCAGGCAAGACAAGATCAGGAATGAGGCAATAAGAGGTAGAGCAGGAGCAATACTAATCATACAGCACATCGAACGACAGAGGATCAAGTGGTTTGGACACCTCACATATGCCTATCAACCAACCAGCCCTACAAGCATGCACCCTCAGATATTCTGGCTGGAGAGCAAGAAGCAGACCAAGAAGATGCTGGAGTGACTCAATGGCAGACACTCTCAGGGCCCATGAGATATTTCTCCACCAGGCCTCTCGCCTTACCGCTGACAGATGATAGTGTCTCTCTGCAACACCTAACAGCATAAGTGGAAGACAAAAATGAACTAAACATATATTGGAAGTTTATAAATTTCTCAGTAGATATTCGTAGAGGAGTTAAAGGGTCTAAAACTAGAAAGAAATACCGAAAACTTGATTAGCAGGTACTATCTCATGAATGAACAATGCACGCAGCTAGTCAGAAAAATAACTCCTTCTCCAAAAAATGCGGTAACCAAAATACCCAAATTTTTGCTTTCCCGATTCGAAAACAACTGCTTTTATCAACCGAGTATTTTTTTTTCCATTCATCGACAGCTGGGAGAGGATGTTCAATATTTTGCATATCAAAATACTTTTATAGCGACTCCTGCGACAGACTTGTTTTTTTTATTCAAATATTCCATTTTCAGCATGTCATGCAGAATACGTGCCCTTTTGTTTGGTAAGTAATTTTCTTTTTCACCACATTTTCCATCATAGAATACACACGACACGTCCTATAGCTTTGTGTGGCAACCAGTCTAACAGAAGAAAAACTCTTTGAACTAGGGTACCTTGAATCTTTGAACTCAGGTTGGTGACTAAACTGGCCCCCACAAGGTCTAGTGAGGACGGTAAGTGGAATCCCAGCAGCACAAAAACAAGAGCTGTTAAAGGGCAGATGAACTCCTCAGAGACACCAGCCCCCAAGTATGGGTTAAATAGCCTCACCAACATACAACTGACCAAGCATGGTGACTATGGTTACACTTCTGAAGACATGGTCAATCAAAGAGAGATTCCTCCGTTGGGATTTGGAATTGGAAGCTCTTATACTGATCCTTAATTAATGTGCTGGGAAGTAACTCTTTGATTCAAGACAGAATTATCAATCTATATGCAATTAATCCTATCATTTTTACTATTTTATTTATTGACTTCATGACATCTTACTTTGTAAATGGGAAACCAGAGTATATTGAACCCACTACTCAGTAGTAATGTTTAACAAGATTAGACTTGCTAACTATTTCCTCATACCAAGGTGCCTCATTAGTATTTTATGGGTACTAGTTAAGTAATAATAAATTTAACAAATTGTTTGCTAAAACTCTACCAAGCTTAGATATTTGCACATCACATTAAAAATGCGAAATGCTGTATGAAGTATTACAAAATTTCAGAGGTTTGTGAACACATCATGTTGAAACACTGGTTCCTGTATGTTCACCAAAGTTAGGCAACATCAAACCTGGTTAGTACTTAGGTGGGTGACCACTTGGGAATACCAGGTGTTGTACTTGTGGGTGGTGTAATGGATAATGGCTTAGAATTGTTAATCAGAGAGGCGAGTTCTAATTCCAGTCAGCTATGTTATATTTGCTTATGTACAAATAGCCCTTGGAAAGATATGAATGCACCACTTCTATCCCCAGCTATGGGTTAATTAGTAAGACTTTGTATCACTAAATCATAACTATCTTCAAAAATTGAAAAATAAAATTTTTTCAGCTATAAAATTGCGTACTAAATATTTAGATTTTGGCATTAAATAATCCATTGAAGTTGATACACTGATAAAGAAAAAACAACAAATTTCAGTTTCCTTTTTCCACTGATCCTGCAAAGCAAATAATCTGTACCAAATGTGTTTAGTGCATTGTCCCATTATGGCAAGTTTTGTAAATATAATCTAAGTACCAAAAAGGAAAATGAGAGAAAAAAGGAAAAAAGAAAGAAAAGAAGAAAAGAAATGAAGAAAAAGGAAAAATCAATTGCATACTATCTTGATGCACTACTTGTGTAATATCTCAGAATGTCAATGAAAATCATGACTTTAATTCACCAAAGTACTAGAGACTGACCTAATTCTTTGCTCTCCACAAAGCACATTGGATCAATGGCAGGGTTCCAATATTATTCTTCATTTCTGAGATAACATCTTTTTTATTTTTATTTTTTTTTTTATGAGAATGTTTGTTTTCTTTAATGATCTTGTATGTGGTTCATTCTGGGCAAATAACAAACCCCCACAGGCTCACATCATTCCTGTTTGCATCTCTTGGCTTTTGTTTCTTGAACGAACAATTTAAAATCTAAAATAACACACAATCTTACAACTCCTCCAACTCTCTTGGAATTAATTTACTGGATGAAGTACAAGGAAGATAAGCTGAGATGGAGAATTATTTCCACTTTTTCTTATCTCATCTTCTTGTCATCCATGTTCATTAAGTACAAAGACAATCATTTCTCTCTTTTAAACTGTTTGCAAACTGTGCTTTATTCTTAGGAAAGAGTTTTGAATTTAAACTGTTACTTGCTAATGAAGGCTTTTAGAAAGCTAAACATACCTGGCTTTTCAATCAGTCAACTGAGAGGGCGAGAAAAAGGATTTGTGCCTTTCCCCAAAGCATTAGTGAGAAAGGAATGAAAATCATCCCAGCTGGTGAGTGAATTTGTCTCACAGATTCCACTCACACTGCCATGATCTGTTTGACCACCCACACATCGTTATTCATTGTAACCATTGCTATAAAAAATATTGATCCTTTCTGCTTGATTTGCACTTTAAAATGCTTCCTGGATATTATTGGCTATCTTCAAGTTGTATTGAGTTTTCAAACAGTTGCATTTAAATGGTAGATCAGGGAATTTGCTGATGTCTATAATTTAACTAGATTATCTTGAGTATATATTTTTGTAAAGTTCACATTAAATAACTCACCTGTAATGTATTATGTAAGAAACTGAAAAAATTGTTAGAAACAAAGAAATGAGATTGTTACTGTTATGTAATATCAGTCCTTGTGTATGGCAGATGAAGAGGAAACTTAAGGTAGCAGAAATGTGGTCCTACAGCAGGATGCTGAGAATACCATGGACTGAACATATGAGCAATGATGAAGTTTTAGAGAAAACGGAAACAAAAAGGAAAATTATATTTAACATCAGGAAGAGATAGTTGAAATTTCTATGGCACATAATGAGGAAAGAGGGCTTGGAAAATCTAGTACTCACAGGACAGATTGAAGGCAGGAAGGACAGAGAGAAACAATGTATAACTTATTTAGCTTCAGTAAATTGATGATGGAAGTAGGTTTAGGGGAAGTAACAAAAAGACAAAATTTATTAAGAGCTACAAAGGACAGGAAATTGTGGAGAGCCATAATCACCAACATCCTAAATGGCACATAAAAGAAGAAGGTAGAAACTCCATATTAAATATCTAAACTTGTCTTACATTTTTCACTTGGATAAACAGCAAAGAAATACTGGTTGACAATCAATGAACTTGTATTGTTTCTCTTTGTTTTTTTGTCAGGAAGTGAGTGATCATGGCTCTCTATTCTTTGTAGCTCTAAGCTCTGCCATCTATTTGCACAGGACAGATAGATTACTCACTGTTTCTCTCTGCCATACTTGTCTTTAATGTTCTGTGAGAGAGAGACTATGTTAAAATAAAAAAAATTAAAGTGTACAAAGGTGGACAACATAGAAAAACATGAAATGTTCTTATGATTAGTCAATAAATCATAGTGCTAAGATAGGTCTGTTAGAGCTACTGTAAGAATTAGAAGTTATACCAGGATTCATTATTGGTAGCCAGAATCTTAACAACAGATGACACAGTGTTAATAGCAGAGAAAAGAAACTACAGGAACTCCTACAGATGGTAGCAAAAGAAAGTGAGAAACAAGAGCCAAAAACATCAATCGTAAGAAGAAGGAATTTATGCAAAAGCAACAGCCTAAGATACAAACTACAAATTAGAGATGTCAGAATCAACCAAATACAAAAATTTAAAATAGAAAAGTGGCATTTGAGAAGAGGATATAAAATGCAATACCAAAATCTGAAGGTGCATTGGGATAGTGAAAGATGCCTTCCCAAAACTAACCAAAGTATTAAGAAACAGAAAAATTTTCTTAAAAACAAAGAAAAGAGCACTGAACTGTTATATAATATCAGTCCATCTATATATAAAAAATAACTTACAATCTGTTGTTAAATGGGGCAAAGAATGGCTTGATAATTTAATGGCTCAAAAACAAAACTGCTCTATTTGTCTGAGAGAACCCTTTTTAACATCCATCATCATGGTTGATGATAAATTCCAGGAGAGTGAGTTACTGAACCTTTTCAGACTGACATTTTCAGCAGACATGAAGTGGAAAGAATATATTGAATTAATTGTTAAGTCTGCAGCTTAGAAAGTTGGTTCACTATGTCCTTTTAGACAATTTTTCTCTCCAGAATCCATCTTACATATTTATCTTCTGTCTTCTGAATTCTTGTTCTCTCCTTAATAGTAGTTTTTCACATGTTCTCTAACACTCCATAACCCCTTGTGTCCTAGTGGCTTTATTGCTTTTCATGGGGTAAAATGATTAAAAAAATATGGCAGTGAATGCTGGACAATTTCCTCATAGATGAAGAACAGACTTGATGCAACAAATATGTGGTTGGTTCTACAGTAGGATGCTGAGTATACCATGGACCAAATATGTGAGCAATGACAAAGTCTTAGAGAAAATGAAAACAAGAATCAGAAAGAGACAGATAAAATTTCTAGGAAACATAATGAAGAAAGAGGTGCTTGGAGAGAATTTGGCACTCACAGGATATGTTAAAGTCAAGAGGAACAGAGAAAAGCAGTGAATAAGCAATCTAATGAGTTTGTGTAAATGGTTGGCGGAACAGGGATTAGGAGAGATAGCAGAAAGGTAAACATTACTTAGAGCTGCAAAAGACATTATGGTGAGCCATGATCTCCCATGACTGAAGGGACATACAATATAGTTGAAGATACCAAGTTTTCTTTTTTATCCAATTCAACCAGAGTATATGATTTTCACTCTCTAACTCAAGAGCTGAACTCACAATTACTTGGTGGCTAGAGACAGTTAACCAACATTCTTGATCAGAGACTTTTCTTCTAACTGCTCTTCTCTGTACAATTGTATTAACAGGAATATGAAAAGATATCTTTAACAATAAATTCCTTTATTCTGGGTCTTCTTACTCTGGTGGGAAATTGAATAGTGATTCAAGATAATTTGGAGATACTAATGAAAACAATGACTCTTCAGGAGTGCTTGACAAGATATTTTAATAATATATATTAAAAGTAAAAATATCCTAGACCTAAATAGTTAAGGTGAATCTTATTATGATAATATTTAAGGAAAAAATAAGTGCCTTTGAAAAAAAAAAAAGAAAAAAAAAAGTAAAAGAAATAATTTGAGAAAACAATTTTCTCTTGGAATAATTAATTTCTCTGATAAAGAATCAATAAAAAACATCTAGAATTTGGCAACTGGAACAGTGTCATCTTCCATCAAGACAATGTCAGATGTCACATCCTTTTACAAACCTGCCAGAAATTGGTACAGCTTGATTGGAATGTCCTTCTTCACCCACCAGTCTCACCTGACTTTAGGATTACCATATATTTCAATCCCTAAAATTCCCTTAAATGGGAAGAACTCCAGTTCTGTGGACACCTGTCAAAAGCATTTAAACTAGTTCATGACTGAGATGCCAAATTCTGGGTGAGTGGAATCATGAAGTTGCTTCAATGATATTGAAAAGTAGTGGCATATATGTGGTTGAATATACAAATATTTAAGTATTGTCTTTGAGATTTGCTTAAAAATGCTGTAAACATTTGTTCCAACTGAGTAGTTCTAATAAACAACACGAGATGAAATATACCTCCCACAATGAACATTTACAAAGTGTAACCACCTGTCCTATCAAACATAAATGATGATGAAAGACTCCCTGGTAGGAAATCAATCTGAATTTCCAATGTGCGTGATACAATAAAAGATTATCCTGCAGAGCAGGAAACCAGTACAAAGTACAACATTTTTGTTCATTATTCTTGAATGTCTGAGTGCTGATATATTGTTGCATGAATTCAACTCAGTTTAAAGGACCATATTTTATAGCATACAACATCAACTTTATTTTCCCACTTATTTGGAATTCATATATGCTTAATTTTGTTTTGTATCAGGCCAAACAATGAATGTGGAATAACTGTATGGAATCTAGTTAAGTGAATCTAATTACCTAGCAGTCAAGAGTTCAATCTCTGAGTTATTCTATACACTGTGTCCCTTCATGACATTGGTGTTCATGATTCTCCATAACTTCCTGTTCTTTGTAACTCTTAATAAATTTTGTCTTTGTTATTTCTCTTTAGCCTTGTTCCACCATCCATTTACATTAGCTCACTGGGTAGGTTATGTATTGTTTTCCTTCAACCTTCTATGCCTTCAGTCTATCCTG